CCAGAAATCGCGAGGATAATGACTTTAATCATAAAAGTAAAGCAAATATACTGTTGATGGATGCACTGTTATTCACACCTGTGCCAGTTATTCAAAACTTTTCTACTTCCCACTTTTTGGCCATAGAAATGACATACCATACACTGTTTAGCACAAATGGAGATCACTTTAACACAAAAAAACATTTTCTTGAATTTTTGTATTGTTAGTTAAAAGTGGGGATATAAAATGTTGGGAGGTACTTCCATGCAGGTGTCTTACTTGTAAGAATGTTATTTAGATAGCAATTGAATGAGTTCTGTTGCATCTTAATCACAATTTTGAAAAATAGTCTTACTTTAGGTCTGGATGATCTTTACTGTCCGTGAGAAAACTCTCTTCTTTTAATTTGCCTGCATGATTGCTTATTAATCCATCTAATAAACAGGAGAGAAGATAGGTACCTAGATGGTGGGCATATTTCATAGCACAGGAGGCCCTTTATGCAGAAGCGATGTATAAGACAATAACTGAAAGTTAATAAGTTACCAAAACAAAGGCTATCATTTCCTCGGTGTTTGACCGTGCAGCCCTGGTTATAACCGCTGTGGAAAGTAGGCTATTTTAGATTTGACTCTAGTTGTACTTTTAGTCTCTGGAGAAGTACACAGGACTTTGTGAGGCACTCGGAGAGAATAAAAAATACGGTATCGTAATAAAATAATTTGTGCAGTTCATTAATTTTTAATCTCACTTTAGTGCATGTGGGAACGCTGATGTCTCAATAACACGCTTGATGGTAGGCCATGGGGGCACTTGCTATTATTTAGACTTTATTGAAGGCCAATTCTGAAATATTAAATATAGACAGAGGGTGGAAAAGGAGGGGGTGTTCTTAAGCGCTAAGTGCTATACATAAATACGTTTCTATTGGAAGAAGACACTGACTTTTACCCAGAGCCTGAAGGGTATGAGGTGACATACCTCCTCTTGCTGTCGTCTAGAGCAGGGGTCCCTAGTCTCTGGGATCTAATGCCTGATGATCTGAGTTGGAACTGACGTAATAATAATAGAAATGTGTGTGTTAGTTGCTAAGTAGTGTCCGACTCTTTGCGACCCCATGGACTGTAGCCTGCAAGGCTCTTCTGTCCATGGACTTCTTTAGGCAAGAATACTGGAGTGGGTTGCCATTTCCATCTCCAGGGGATCTTCCTGACCCAGGGATCAAACCCCTGTCTCCTGCATCGCAGGCAGATTTTGTACTCTCTGAGTCACTAGGGAGGCCCCAGGGGATAATAATAGAAATAAGTGCACAATAAATGTAATGCACTTGAGTCATCCTAAAACCATCCACCCCCGGGCCAGAGTTTTAGGGACCGCTGGTCTAGAGAGAATGAAACAGCTGGAGGTCAGGGCCTGCCTCAGTGACAGCTGCAGTTGCACTTTGTATGGTGATCCAGCCTCCAAGAGATCAAGGCACTCATCATTTGTGCTAAGGACCATTTGATAAAGAGAAGGTTATAATTTGGGAGGTGGTTTGTAAGAAAAATAAATCATGGGACTTGGAAAAGCGGAAATAGAAAAACGGTTTGACTGCAACCAGATTGTGAAGCATGGAAGTAGGTATGTTTTTCATGAAAGGTTTACTCATATTTGCAGGTGTGTATGTGTGTGTGTGTAAAATGCGGTTCTCCATATATCCCTGTAGTTTCCCGTTCACTCGGTGAGCCGTCTGTCATCCCTGTTGGACTATAGATGTTTCATTCTGAGCTGGACTCTGACCCAGGGAAGTTCTGGCTCTGGAGGAAGCATGCAGCCCAACACTGTGTCATGAAATAGGACATGACCAGGGAAGGAAGAGTGTCCTGATGATCTGGTCACGGCATTTCTTAGGAGCCGGTTTTCTGGAAACACAGCAAATGACTGGCAGATGCTCATTTGAGAAGAAAGACTCAATATTGGATATTATGAGAGAAGAATACAAACTTAGGAGGCTTGAGTACTTTTAGAGATGCCAGCTTGTGAGGAAGTCAGTCTCTCATAGTCAAATTACATCAAAGACTAGTCAGAGTCTAAGAGAATGCAGAGCCTCTTGTGGTAGTGAATTGGGATCTCAGAAACATGGAGACCCAGATAATTACTGCCATAACTCACTGCGACTCTCATATTGTCATTGAGCATCTAAGGGAAACCAATCCTGAATGAAATAATGAGTCTTTAAAAGAATAACTTGGGGAAATTCAAGTCTCGATTCTTTCCCTTGAATGAAGTGACAATACGTTTTATTAAGTTGGAATCATGCACACTCATAACATACTTAAAAGCACAAAATTGGAGCATTTAAATTTTTTTCCAGCACTTGTTAAAGAGAAAGTCTAAAATAGGCTATTCTGCAAAACACCCTTTCATCCTCACACTTTACTTGTTCTCTTTCATAATGTAAAAGAGATGCATTTGAATATAGCACCAGGAACCTGAAGAATTCATAGTTTATTATGATGGTTTATATTTTCAATTATGTTTATTCACAAGTTGATTTATGTTTCTGCTCTCATACTGGTCTTCATATTATCAGTCTATACTAAATTTACAATAGTACTGATTTCCTCTATTCTGTAATTAGGATTATAAAACAGAATAGTTTTTAGTCGTCCTTCTTTTGTTCTCTCCAAATGCCATCATCAGCAATTAAATATAAACCAGAGAGCATGAACTTTGAATAAAATCTTCAGTAAGCTTAGACAGTATTGGGCAGTCATTTGCAGCTTGTGGAGTGTTAATTATATACCACTGACAGATGATTTGAAAGAATAAGTAAAAGTATGTTCTAATCAAAAACACAAGAATCACCCAGGAGACAATCACAGCAGCATTTCCTAGAATTGAACACATTCGGAATCACTTTTACGATCAAAAATCCTTTGACAGAACTTGGGAAGCCAAGGGAAGTTGTTTAAAAGTTGCTGTGTTCAGACTAAGTGAATAAAAGCAGTAGGGTGGGATTATTTTCCAGGCCCTTCCCAGCACTTGTACGGAAGAGGTGTGGCTACTAAGCTAGCCCAGAGCATCCTATGTAGTACAGAAGGGGTTGTTTTAGTCTGGAGTTAGGAGTATGGGATGGGAAAGGTGCTATTTCTTTTCAAACAGATTGGAAGGAGTCCATCTGAGGTTCACACATCTATGTCTGAGCCGATTTCTTGATAAAATGGGGACAGGGATATATGTGAAGTAAATGTTAATAACGCCTGACTTCCCAGGTGGTTCAGTGATAAAGAATCCACCTGTCGACGCAGGAGACTTGGGAGATATGGGTTTGATGCCTGGGTCAGGAATTTTCCCTGCAGGAGGAAGTAGTAGCCACTCCAGTCTTCTTGCCTGGAAAATCCCATGGACAGAGGAGCCTGGCAGGACCAAAGAGATAGGACTGAGCACAAATGTTAACCTTAACAAACTATGCTAGTTTCATGTTATTACATGATAAAATATCCCATTGTGTTATTCAGAGATTTAGAAAATAAAACAACAGAGGTTCTCAGGGGCTTTGGATCACTTGGAGTGGAAGCCAGGGTTACCTGAGGTAGTAAATGCTGGGAGAGGACAAGCAATATTTACCAGATTGTGAAGTCTTTTATATATGTTTAAAATGTAAAAAAAATTAAAAAATTTTAAAATTAGTAAATTAAAAAAAAAAAGTAACTTCTGGGAGTTCCCCTGGCATGCAGTGGTTAGGACTGTGCTGTCAGTGCCTTGGGCTCAGGTTCAGTTTGTGATCTGAGATCTAAGATCCTGGAGCAAGCTACACAGTACTACCATCCCCACACCCCAAAGTAACTTCTTTATCAAGGAGAGGTAGACCTGAATGATGAACTTCTTGAAAGCTTCAAGATGATGATTTCTTTATAATTCTTCAGATGCATTTACTTGTGAATCCATAGGTTACAATGCACTGCACATTTTAAATATCATCATTCTTTTAGCAGTCTAGAGTTAAAAGCAGACTATTTTTTAAGAGCACTTTTATGTTCACATCAAAATTGACTGGAAGAGAGATGTCCACATATTCCCTTGGCTTCCATCTACCTCTTCCCCCTCCCCACCACCCACCCCCACCCCCAGTAAGCCTCCTCCGCTGTTAAAATCTTGCACAGAGTGTTACAATCAACGAACCTACGTTGACATGTCACTGTCACCCAAAGTCCATGTAAAGCCCTAAATATTTAAATTTCATGTCTTTTTGCGAGCCACTGCTTAGTTCAGATGTTAGAGACAGCGGCACAATGTGACATCTGGAACTTTGATTCACCAGGACAAGAACAGAATCTATAATTTCTTAAGTTCATTTAGTTTTTATTAAAAAAAAGTGGTTATACAGTACTTTATGGTCTCATTTTTAACCCTTATTAACCTTAAGCCACTGCTTCTCTAGAATTACACATGGTTATAGTCTGGTTTATGGTTTCTTAACTAAATGGAAGGCTGGAAATTTAGGATAAAGGAAACTTTTAAAAAATCACCGCTATTTTTATATGAATGGGTAATTTCAATTTTAAAACATTCTGGCCAAAATCCAGTGCCATTAAACTGGATAGGTACAAGACTGATTCTTAAGAGACTCTGAGTTTTTAAAATATTAGGCATTTGAGATATGATAAATTAGGACCAAATAAGTAAAATGACTTTTATGTTGTGTAGTGGGTGTTTTAATAATGAAAATGTATATAATAGGCTTTTAGAAACGTCTAAGGGGTGTCTTCTTGCCCGCTTTGACCTCACTGGAGCTATGCTGGAAAGGTCCCTTTTCCTCTTTTAGATCTGACAGTTAAGGAGTCCACGGACAGGAGATGGCAAACGAGGAGAAAGCATAATCTGAACAAGACTGAAATGCTTTTCACTTTTGATTGTTTAAAAATAATTCTAGGGGAGAAAGAATCATCTTGGGGGAAATTTCGTTAAAAATTAAGCAGAGAAACTTGCCCTAGGAAAGTGCTTCCTCTGACACCTGGAAATCCACGCCTTTCCCCTCACCCCGGGGAAGAAGCCGGAGGAGGAGCGGCCGGGCCCGGCCAGGCTGGCCCGGGCAGGCGGAAGAGCGGATCCTCGGGGCGACCCCCCCTCCGCCCCGCCCGGAGCCGGGGGTCCTTCCAGCGCCGGGGAGCCCCGGGCCATTCGCCCGGGGAGCTGCTGAACTCGGGGCCCCGGGTCGCTGCCAAGCGAGGGAGGGTGAATGCCGTGACGTCTCCGCCGGCTTCAGCTGCACAACAGGAAATGCTCTCGGCCTCCCCCCTTCCTGCCCAGAGAAAGTGGGGCTCGTGCTCCCGCCGCGCCGGCCCAGACCTAGTTTCTGGGGCGCCCTGAGAAGGCACTGGCTTTGCCAAGGCTTCCTCTGAGGAGCCTGCCGTGGTTCTCCGTTGTGCTGGAAGGGCGGGGAGGTCGGGCATCACTGGCCTTGGGGAGAGCACGGCGCTTGCATCACAGAGAAGCCCTGTGGACCCAGGGACCCGAAGCCTTGGGGCGGAGAGTGCTGAATAACGCCGGCTGCAGAGAGCCTGAGCCGATGTGTTCATCGCCCTCACAGACTGTACCATCTCTCTTTTCACAAAGCCCTACAGGAAACCTCTCGTTTCACCCTGCCTCTAACTGTCACCTGTTTACTTTGTTGTGGAAGCAAAGATGTAATGTTTAGTGCAAAGCACGAGCATCCTGTCCTTACAAGACAACTCAGTATGCAAGATTTTAATCGTTTTGTAGGTAGTGAAATCTGGTTTGAAAAAATGCTTATGATCTTGTGAATTGGGGTACAGTACTGTGGTCCTAGGTTTACAATGCTCAAATTACAGATGCTTGTTCTTGGTTTTTTTCCCCCACTGCTCTTCTTCAGTTTAAAAAGTTGAATCCAAGCAAATCCAGCTTTTTAAATAGCAGGTGTTTTACTTTGCATTAATGATCTTTCAAGTTACATTTTAGAATCGATGTTTAGTATTAATAATCTGTTATTTAGTATCATGAATCTTAATGTGTTTTATATACTAATGAGCATGATAAAGAAGGGTAATATCAGCCAGGCAGTCATCATTGTGATTACTTCTCTGCTTGACTCATGAATAGGCTTTGTAATGGAAGATTGTTCTTTTGGCTCCACAGCCAAAATGCCAGAGTTCACTGGGAGGTCTGCTTAGGTTTCTTATATCAAAGACTTGACAGAGAAAGGATTTAACAGATGAAAATATGATTTAGTAGTTCATAGTAAACGTAGAAAATCACTCTAAATTGGGACATACACTGTTAACATGTTTAAGTTAAACTGACTTACAAGGCTAATGACTGACCTATGCTTTTATAATTGTTGCCTGAATATTTTCCTGTAAAAGAAGTCCCTGCGGGGTCATTAGATGTGTATATAGTACAATGTCATTTCCCTTGAGATGCTTTCGGCTGATTTATGCAATAAGGAAACTGCAGAGTATTTGAGTACCCTTGGAAGAAGAGCGGTAGATTTCAACGTCATATCTTTTTTAGATAGCTCGTTGCTTTGACAGAATATAACATAAATATCCTCATTTTACCATGTGAACCTCATTCAAGTTGTTTTCATAGCAGTCTTTGGTGGTGAGATGTGCAAAAACATTTGTACAGAAATTCTCAATGACTCTCTAAAGGAAATAAAGTTAGAAGCTAAGAACAGAGGAGAAGCTGTGACTTTTCAGTATTATGCCAAAGAGAGTGGACTCCATTAAAATTTACTCTCAATAACTAAATGGATTCAAGGGGCCAATGAGATGGTGTGAGAGAAAGTGTCGTGTAAAACTGAAAAGCAATACATTAATGCAAGATTGGGTTTTTTATATAATTCTTTTTCCCTTCTCTCCCCAACAATAAAATTACACAGAAGAAATATTTGATATAACAAGGACAACTGTTAAACTGGAAATTAGTCTCAAACTTTTGTGGCCACAATATAGTTGGGTCCCCTACACCATGCTTATTTACTTTATAATAAGATTTAACAGCTTTAAAACCCAGCTTGGCCATTTACAGCACTGGTATTATGAATGTGTTTATTTAGCAGTATTAATATAAGGATCAATTACTCCAGATCTGTATTAAAAATAATCCTCAGTTTTTTTGCAACATCTCATTGGAGGTGCTAAGTTGGAACCTTAGACACATTAATTAAATCCCATAACAACAAAGAGGTTAGCCTGCTGTTTTCTAAAAACCACTGTGTGAAGAACTCATATGGACTGTACATAGAATCTGAATTTTTATAATATTAACCCAAATCAACATGTCATCTGTAATTCTGATACAAACGTACAGCATGATTCATACAGGAGTTATAAATAGATCTACTTTGGGGGATACATTCTACTTTTTTTGTGGCAGAAGAATTTTGTGCCTGTATAGTGATGAAAACTATAATTCTGAGTAGGATGGGTAGAAGAATAAATTGTTTGTCAGCTGAGAAGGTTGTGCTTCTTGGAGGAATATCCTAGACTAAATGTGATCCATTATATCTCAAAATCATGATTTGAAATAGCTTGAAAAGTATTTTTAAAATAATTGGTTTTCTACTGTATGCCTTTCCCAGTGAGTTTCACCAGCCAGGGCAGAGTTTGTCTTGTCCCCACTGATTTCCTCAAGGCCTAGAGCAGTGCCCCACTCAGGGCAAATGCCCAGAGCACAGGTGCCCAGTGAAGATATTAAGACGCTATCCTACCTGTCATGTTTTAGACACTGTCTCCTGTCCCTGGGTTCTAATTTCAGAGTCCTCTTTTTGTTCAGTGGTTTGAATTCAGTGAATATGAGACAGTATTTGATTTTTTTCAATGAATTAAAAACACAGAGTGGATGCACAGTAGGCATTTAGGAAGTTGAAAAACGTTGAAAGAAGCATGATGTTTAAGCAATATTGTCTTCCTGGGTGCTTTGTTTACTGTTCTAATCATTTGCAGCTCTCCTTTTTCATCTAAGGAGAATCAGTTTTTAAAAAATGCTTATTGACCTATTGATTTACAAAAGAAGACATTTAGTGAAGCAAAAGATCAGTCCACTTAAATTTGAACCATTTTTATTAGCACTTATGGAAAAGGAAATGGCAACCCTCTCCAGTACTCTTGCCTGGAGAATTCCATGGACAGAGGAGCCCAGCTACAGCCCATGGGGTCGGCAAAGAGTCAGACACAACTGAGTGACTATCACTCACTATTAGCACTTAACGCTAAGGTGCTACATACCAGTTTGAGATCCAAAGATTCTCTGAGCTCTTAAACATAATTTCTCTTTGACCATTCATTGCATAGTAGGATCTTTGATGTTGGGTTTGAACCTTTCTGGAAATGGGAATTGTGGATTAGAAGCCCATTGCTTTACTTTCAGTGTGCAGGATGGTGCCCAGCGTAGCATCTATGGGCTCCAGAGGACTAACTTTGTAGGCGGGCGAGTGATCTGTATCGTCCCCAGGCCCCCGACTTGGTTTAATACTCTGTTGTCTTAAAATTCTCACTTTTTGAACAAGGAACCTTGTATTTTTGTTTTGCACTGGACTTTGCAAATTATGTAGCTGATCTCGGTGCTCAATAACTGTTTATGACAAAATGAGTGACTTGACTACAGGATTTGGAAACTTAGATATTTTAATCCTGAAAGCATTGGCTTGATGGTGAATTTTAGTTTCCCTGTCTGTCTGAGGTGCAGAGAATGAAAAACAGATTGGATTCCATCCAATAAAGTATCTCAGCTAGAATATTAAAAAAAATATCTTCTCCAAAGTGTTCAGTATAACCTCTTGGTGGGGCTGAGCTAAGTAAAAGTTCTGATAGAATGTGGAAGATTGAAGCTCGCATAATGGGAAATGTAATAAGTAGTATCATCTCCATATTTTATTCTTTTCTTTATATTCTCAGCTATATTTTGATTCGTGTTTTTTAATTCAGCTTTTTTTTATTGTTTTGAAAGTAACTCTTTTTGTGGTTTTATTTATTTTTTATTTATTATTGTTATTATTATTTTTTGGCTGCACCACATGACATGTGGGATCTTAGTTCCCTGACCAGGCATGCAGCCTGTGCCTGCTACATTGGAAGTGCAGAGTCTCTATCCCTGGACTGCCAGAGATGTCCCAACTATTAACTTTTAATTATTTTTCCCTGTTATCAATGATGCAATTATTCATGAGTATTGATTTATTGATAGTACTCAGTATGTTAGATATTGGGCAGAATTTATATTAAAATATGTTTCTTTGTTCTCTGGAGAGTATGAATGAGTATATAAAATAATGGAAGAAGATACATGTTAGTGGGAGGAGCATGCTGTGGTCATCTGGTCCTTCCTTTGCCTCCAGAAGCAAGTTGGTCTTAAAAAAAAAAATCTATATTTAAGGCTCTCCAGGGATGTAAATTTCATCATTTTTGTTGAGAGCCAGTTCTGTTGCTTAATCATATTTATGGCTGGAAAAGAGGCAGCATAGAACATGATCGGGAGTGGGGATTTCAGAGCTGTGCTGCCTGGGTTTGAATGTTGCCTCAGTGACTTTCTAGTTGAATGACTTTGGGAAAGTTGCCTCATGTTTCTTAGCCTCAGTTTTCCTCACCTGTACAACAAGGATAATTCCTAAAATGGATCTCAGATGTTGTCCTAAGATTAAATGAATTAATATATGTAAAGTACTTGGTCTACAGGAGGAAATTTTTAAAAGTTTACTTATTTCCTTGTTTATTTAGTGTTACTTACAGTATTATCAAATAGCAACTGAAAGCTTACATTGATACCCTCAAAGACACCCTGATCTCTGAGGGAACTGACTTATAATCTAAGGGTGAGGATATTGTGGAATGAGTGTAAAAATAGAAGGAAGTAGAGGGTGATAACGTCTAGAAGGGGCCCTAAGCCATCCTTGGGGCAGGGGTGCAGGGCCTGTTCTCTCAGCTGCTCTTCCAGGGCTCAGTAGGTCACTAGAACAGTATGGGGAGGGTTTGAGAATGCACTGGGGAGGGTGGGGAATCCCAAATAGTTTAGTGTGGCTGGAGCTTCAAGGACAATTGGGAGACCATGAAAACATGGTAGACATGTAAGCTGAGCCAGGCCATGAAAATGCTGACCGACTCAGGAGGGCAACCAGAAAAATCTCGCTGTAGGAGGCACGCTTTCCACAAAGAGAGAGAGAGAGTGTCAGTACCAAAGGCTATGGACAGTCAAAGGAAGATAAAACTCAAAAGTGATTTAATAACTAGGAGATGGCTGGTGTTTATTTTTGTCTATCATTTGCTCTTTAGCACGAATGACTATTTAAGCCCCTGCTATTGGTGAGTGTAGGGGAGACATTTAAATTAGACACAGACGTGTCTGACTTAAAGAGGATTAAATCCTTGAATTACCAAAAGAAGTTTTACAATCTTTTTCTCTAATGTTTTCAAATTAGGATAAACCACAACTCATGGTTAGTTCATGGCCCCACTCCATTATCTTCAGCTGGGAGAGGGCAATAGAGTGTGTTTATCATTCTAACTTTAGAATCTGATCATCATTTTGGTTTGTAGTAGTAACTAAAAAATAACAACAACAA